TGTGTCCCATCAGCTTCTGTGCAGGTGTAGGTTGCCCACTTGGACATAGATGTGAAATTCTCTCAACCTGGTATTCATTAAACTCTGTTGTTCGCATACAACCACAGGCCTCCTCCAGCCTGTTGGTCCTCTCAGCACTTTTAAGCCTCCACTGGGACTCAGCAGCTTGCACCCACCTTCTCTGCACTGCTCTGGGTTCACAGTGAGACTGTCCTTGGGACTCCCTAAGTGCCTGCCTTAGTCATTGCTACTGTCATAATACCGGCTGTTCCAGTACCAGATTGGCCTTGAGGATAGCTCAGAGCTGAGGCACCAAGTCTGCAGCTCTCAAGTTCTACCAAATGTATCTAGGTGTTTCCTTCTCTCTCTCTGTCTCTGTCTTTACTTCTCTCTCTCCATGCTCACAGCTCTCCGGGATTTGGTGTCTGCTCTCTCAAGCTACAAAGTTTGGGAATCCTAAACACTCTGTCTCAAGCACCTGCTCTTTCACATACGAAACACTTTATTTTCCTGACTATGAGCTCTAAATTATCTGATCAACATTGGAGGGTGCTAATAGTGAACCAACTCATTATTTTTAGAAGTGACAAATAAGGTATATAAAGAATCAGCATTGATCTTGCCTTCCTCTATGGTGTGAACCACAATAACCAAATGATAAGTGGATGGAGAAAACATGATTGTTATAAAAAACATTCCAGCTTATACATGAAGAAGAAACGTTAGAATTACAATTTCTATAGTGGTTTGCAACCTCCATAACAAAGGACATGAACAGCCACAAACACCAAAAAGAGAGAAAACCAGACAGTATGGTATGTGCCTATTGTTGGAAAAACCCACCACTTCCTATATTATTGTCAGAACTAACTGAAAGAGTAAATGAATGAATCCGATCAATCTCTACAGTCAATTTATGAAAATGCAAAGCATAGCGTAATACATGTACCTACTCTTCAAGGATATGATCAGAAAAACCTGGATGGGAAAACTACAGGACAAACGAACTTGTTTCTTCAACAAATAAATTGCAAAGAAAAAAGAGAAATGGAGGGGACATCTATAGAATAAAAGATATTTAAAAGATATACCTGCTAATCTTATTGTTCAGGTCATGTTTGGATCCAGGATTTGGGGAAAAAAAAAAAAAAAGGTGTAAAAAGGACATGACATTTACAAGAAAATATTTGATCTGATGTTGATGTTTTTGTTGTTGCTATACTGGGGGTGTGATGATGATTACTTTGTATTTGCATTAAAGAGAAAGAGTCCTTGTCTTTTAGAGATGTATACTAAAATACAGTTGTCCCTGGAGAATTCGTTCCAAGACACCCACAGATACCAAAATCTACAAATGCTCAAATTCCTGATATAAAATAGTGTAGTATTTGCATATAACTTACTCACATCCTCCTGCATACATTGAGTCATCTCTCGATTATTTATATCTAATACAATGTAAATGCTCTGTAAATAGTTTTATTGTTTAGGGAATGACAAAAAAATCTGCACACGTTCAGTATAAATGCAACCATCTTTAACAAAAAACATGAATCTGTGTTTGGTTGAATCCACAGATGTGGAACTGATGGATATGGAGGGCCGACCATATTTAAAAGGTAAAACTACTTGATATCTGGGATATGCTTCAAAATAATAAGGGTCTAAATGCAATGTAATATCTTGGATTGAATTCTAGAAAAGAGAAAGAATTTTAGGGGTAAAACTGGTGCAATAGGAATAAAGTCTAGATTTAATTAATAGTTTCATATCAATACCAATGTATTCATTCTGACAAACGACCACGGTATTGTAAGACAGGGAGACACAGGTAAAGAGTATGTGAAAATTGTCCTATCTTTGCAACTTTTCCATAAATCTAAAACTATTCCAAAACATAAAATTTATTTTAAAAGCAATGAGAAAGGAGAAGTGGATGCAGGTATAGATGGAACAGGATTAACCAAGGACCAATGGTTGTTGAAACTGGATGGCCACTATACAGGATTTCTATACAACTCCACCTACTCTCAAGTGAGTTGTAAATTCTCCATAATAAAGTCACATAAGTCAAAAACATTATAATCTTTTCTATAGACTATTAAGAGCCTATACACAAACCTTTGGAAGTCAGTAATTTGACACCTTGCTCTCTGTATCATTCCTGCCATCACGGCAGTGGTGCTTAAACAGTGGGGCAAAGGGCAGGAGCAGAAAGAAATGGAAAACAGCAGCGTTAAATATCATCCAGCGACATCACTTGCTTCTTTTCTTTTGTTATTAGACCTCAAATTATTTCTTCCTTTATATTTTAAAATCTTTTTCACCTCTATTTTTATCGCATTTTAGATCTCTTCTAGCACCACGTGCCCATCTATGCATCACTTGGTGTAAGTTCCCCACTGCAATATAACAAACAACCATAGTGCATTAAGCAAGTGAGAAGCATTTTTCCCAACACACAGAATAAGTCTGGAGGTCAGCAGGCCAGGACTGTCACAGCAGCTTCATGGAGTTTTGGATGACTCAAGCTCCTACCTGTCCTCCACTCTTAGATTCCTAAGAATGGCAACCTGGTCACCACACTGACAAGATAGCTTCTAGAGCACGAGCTACCACACCCATATTCCAGGCAGCAAGAAGGGAGGTCAGTCCCCTTCTCCTTAAGGAAATCTCCTAAAAGTCCTGTATATTTCTGCTAACCTTTTACTGACTAAAACATACCCACACAGTCACTCATGGCTGCAAAGTGGAAACATAGAAAATGATCTTTTAATTATACTCTGGCTGTCCTCTACAAAAACAGAGTCCTATTACTGAAAAAGGAGAACAAAGTGGATGTTGGGTAGGGAATTAGCAGCCTCTGCCACAATCAGTCGTGGGAAAAATCTGAACATGCAGTGGCAGAGGAGTCCAACCATGACTTATGCCCAAATTAATTATCCGGCTAGTGCAATCAGCAAAGATCTGGAAGTATCTGTCATCCCACATACGCTGCTGGCTGGTTTATGTTGATTGGTTTGACTGAAAGTTAAAACTAGAAAACTGCCTGTTCATTCACCCTTCACAGCAAGATATCATCTATCTACATCAGAAGCCAATATATGTGCATTTGTGTCAGCATCATGTATAGTACCAGATATGCCTGCTGTGACTATAATGTCCTTTAAACCTAAAATGGAATCATTATAGATTCCTCCTGGCAGCCCTCTTGAGTCTCTGGGAGACCTTCTGGCCTCCTGGCCAGTCTCCAGAGAGATTCCTGTCTGTCTGCCCGGGAGGAGACACATTCTGGGCTGCCTGCCCACATTCTAACCTGCTGCTCACACGGGTTAGAGAGCTGTGTCTATTTGGGTCAGTCCTTCCGAGTGATTATTCTGTTGCCTTTAGGTAAGTTCACTTGAATGTCCCACACATACCAACTGTGCACACCACATGTCTGAATGCCAGTTGCCCAGTAAAATCAATGAAGTATGTTGGAAAAAGCATCTGAAATCTGAGACTGAGAATCAAGCCGGAGCTCTTTTTGGCCCTGGCAGCGAACGCTTAGAAAATTCTCTTAGGCTGTCTAAGTCTCAGTTTCCTCATAGGCCAAACAGAGATATTGCTACCACCTCTACTTTCCTTGCAAGTGTATTGTGAAGCTCAGTTACAAGGAGATATTACATGTCACAGTGTTATGCTTTACACCAAAAAAGGTTAGTATTATTGTTAATCTAGTGAAAATGTGAGTCATCGGAAAAAGAAGAGAAAAACAAGAAACAATAAGGTAGCTCAAGCTCATCTGACCAGGCTCAATACAAGGAAATAGTAACTAGTGCCAAATCTGCAGGATATAAAGAATGAGACAAAAGGGTCAGTGAAATTATGTCTGCCTCAGAAATGATAGATTTTAAATGACTTGTGTCAGGAAGTAAACTTACAACATTCTTCGAGCCACCATTTCCATTTACTATCAGCCATTCTTCCCATGGAACACCAGTTCAAAGAGGAAACCTATTGTTAAACACTCTGTTCTCTTCCAACTGAAAGGGTGAACTATGTTTTCTTTCTTTTAACTAAGTCACCTTTAAAATTCAGCAAGATTCCTATCTCAGCAGCAAAGACCCAAACTCTCACATAAAATTTTCCCGCTCAATACCATCAGCTAGGGTCCATTTCCAGTCATGAATACAAGCCTTTGGGCACAAGTATGTAAGTAGTTACACAAACATAAATTCATTTGGGGAGATAGGTGACTTCTGTAGGTGTGAATGTACATGTATATATAATTCTATATATTGGAGCCTCTAGAAGGTTTATAGTTTTATAGCGACATTAACAAGAAGAAATTTTAAATCCTTTAGTTTTTGTCAAAAGAAGGAGCTTTAGTTTATGTAACATAAAATTAGAATTGCTTTTACTTGCTACCAGTTTAACATCAACATTTTTACCCAGAGTTAGACCCAAAGCTAAACTGCTGGGATTTGACATAACAAAACTGCTGTCCATATGTGAACCAAAAATCACCTGGGATCTATCAGCCAGTTAAGACTTTTTGCTCAGATCCAACTTTAGAGGGTGACTTCTGTCAAGAGCTAAGGAAGAACACAATTCATTATAACTGCAGAACTCAGAGAAGTCAAGAAGCAGATTCACTGGCCATTTGTAAACTTTTCCTGTGACCCACAGCTAGAGCAAAGTACCTCTTAATTGTGAATAAAGTTTCCTGATAAAAGTTTCTCACTCCTTTCTTAAATCTGGAACGCCCCTTGCTTGGAAAACACCCACATACACATAACAAAAAGGAATTCATTCCAGATGTCCAAGAGGCCTTGCATGCCAGGGTCTGGTTTTCAAGGTAGCAAATGGAAACTTTGGCAGGTGGTCACAGTGGTATTTTGTCCCTCTCAAACTTGCTGCCATCAAACCACACTGTAAAACTCACCTGGTTTACATTTGTATAATTTTTGCCTAACAAAGGGAGGAAAAGAAGACGAGAGAATTCGCTGAATACTCACCAGATCACAAGGCTTAAACACAGGTATAGGTAAATTCATCAGTAAGAGTTTTATCAGTGCTGACTGTGTTCCCAGAACTGTTCTGTTCCAAGCTGTGTGGAGGAAACAAAAGTAGGAAACACTGTCCTAAGTCTTGAGAATTTAAAATGACTTCCTAGTGACAAGGTTAATGAGAACGAAAGTGCCACGGTGCTCCCGTAGTACCCTGCATAAAGCATCACTGCACGTACTACTCGCTATAATGAACAGTTTGTGTGACTGATGTCATCCACCATGTCCAGCCCCCAACAAGAAGCATGGCATATCTGTCATAGTAAACACAGACCCCAAAGCATATTCGATAAATGCTAACTCAGTGAATGTAGGAAACAATAGTAGAAAAAATTAAAGAGATGTGAGAGCCGTGGGGATTCAAAATGCAGTCAAACATGAGCCCATTATGTTTCTGGGAATTATCAAGTGTTAATACTTTTTATTCTGCTAATAAGGCATCCCTTCATATTCCTAAGAATCAATTTGAATTGTTCTGCCCTCAATCATACTATACACTGAGAAACAAGAGCTACTATGCTAGAAAATATAACCTTTAGTCTGGAAGTCCATTGTTAAAAAGCAGGTATTATCTCACTGCAGAAGAAAGGAAGGAGAGGTATTAAGAGTGATGATGTTGATTTCATTGCTGTGTTTTGGTGACAGCATATTCCCAAGGGGAAAGGCACGCTTGCTGGCCAGGGGGGAGGGGAAAAAGCGCTCAAACTTAGGTGAAGGCAGGAGATTCATTTTTTTTTAATGTAAATTAAGTCTTATTCTTTACAAAGCAGTTCAGATAAAACATCTGCTTACTAGATTGTAAACAGGGTTGAGGGTCCTAGACCTTCACTGTGACCAAATTATTCAGCATTCTCAGTGTAAAACACCGTTTATAAGAGAACTTCAATAAATATCATATGAAGGGTAGTTGTATGGTGAAATAAGCTTAGGAAACACTAATTACCATATTTCCCTCTTTAGATTTGCAATGTACCTTTATATTGTAAAGAAAATTGTGTTAGTTTACCCACTCGGGGTTTTCCCAAAATTATTTGCCTATGAGCTCATTATTCACAAAGTAGATTAGAAAACACCATTCTGGGAGACTTGTGTTGACTGCTGTCTAACTTTTCTTTCAGAGCTAAATTCTATATCATGTTGGGCCAACATTCTATCACTTTTTAGAAGTCATAGCTAAAACTTGGGAACATATTATTGCTCCTAAAGAACACGAGAAGAACTGAGATCTGAAGACTGAAGCTCAGCAAGAGCCCATCCTGAAGACCAAGGATGAGAAACAGCCCTTGGTATCACAGCCTAAAATTAAAATATTCTTGGGGAAAAAACTGAATTTGAATCTGATCAAGCCTTGCTAGATCTTACCACCATTTACAGGGGTGACACCGTGGAATGCAATCAACAAAATCTCAACTTGAGAAACTCTAGAGAATGCATAACCTGCTGCCTTCAAAAAATGAATTAAAAAAAACAAAACAAAGCATAAAGGGAGGTGTTATCTGTAGATTAAGATACTGAAGAGGCACATCAACCTGGTGGTGTTTGAGGTTTTTTTGTTTTTTGGTTTTTTTTTGTTGTTTTTTGTTTGTTTTTGAGACAGTCTCACTCTGTCACCCAAGCTGGAGTGCAGTGGCGCAATCTCGGCTCACCGTAACCACCGCCTCCCAGGCTCAAGTGGTTCTCCTGCCTCAGTATCCCAAATAGCTGGGATTACAGGTGCATGCCACCATTCCCTGCTAATTTTTATTTTTATTTTTATTTTTTGTATTTTTAGTAGAGACAAGGTTTCACCATGTTGGCCAGCCTGGTCTCAAATTCCTGACCTCAGGTGATCCACCTGCCTTGGCCTCCCAAAGTGCTGGGATTAGAGGCGTGAGCCACCGCACCTGGCCAGTGTTTGAGTTTTGTTTGGATTCTAATTTGAGCAAATTAACTATGAAAAAATATTTATGAGACAATCAGGAATCTTTGAACACTTTCAGGATATTTGATGATATTAAAGAATTACTGTTAATTTTTTTAGATGTGATAGTATTCTGGTTGTAATTTTGTAAAATACATAAGAAATACTTTCTGAAATATTTTCGTATGAATAATATGTTATCTAGGATTTGTTTCAAAATAATCCTGGGGAGGGGGATATCAAGAAAAATAGACTTGTCATAGTATGATGAGGTGGATACACTGAGAGCTGAGTACACTATTCTCTCCAATTTTGTATTTTTTCAAATTAAAAGTTTTCCAAAAGCAGTTGGAAGAAAAAAAGAGGGCAAATAAATTACAAACCAGATGAATACACTGTTTGAAAAGCCACAAGAGCAAGGAATTGTGAGACATGACACAGGGACAGAAAACACCATGGATACAACAGAGAAGTTAAGGAGTGTGAAAACCAAGAAAAGAAAAGAAATTTCAGTGGAGTTTTAAGAGTAAAACAGATTATGAAGCGTTCAAAGCATGATGTCTGGTGAAGAAATGTACATAGCTATACCCTCTCATTTGAGGAAGACGGTTATGAAAAAAGATGGTGGTTGGAGGTCAAGTGAAGGTTTGGCAAGATGTGTAATGCTATGGACTGCATTGCGTTCCCTCTAAATTAATGTGTTGAAGCCCTAAACCTCCTCCATGTGATTGCATTGGAGAAAGCGACTTTAAGGAGGTGATTAAAGTGAAATGAGGTATAAGAATGGAGCCCTAATCCAACAGACCTGTGGCCTTATAAGAAAAGAGAAACTAGAGATTTCTCTCTGTCACGTACACAGAGGAAAGGCCATGTGAGGACATAGCAAGAAGGTGGCCATCTACAAGCCAGGAAGAGGGTTCCCACTAGAATGGGACCATCCTGACACTTTGATCTTGGACTTCCAGCCTCAGCCTCCAGAACTGTGAAAAAAAAAAAAAAGCTACCCAGTCTATGGTATTTTGCTATGGCAGCCCAAGTTGACTAATGCAGGTAAAACATGCACATTTACCTCATTAGCCTTTCTCGCTACTTTGCTAAGCATTTATCAGGTACTTTTTTTATTATGTTGAAATTCGACATGGGAAAATACATGTCACTGAGTGGTATTGTTGTTCTGTGTTCCTTTAGGCCAAGGTCGGTCAGGTGCAGCCACAAGAGAAGACACAGGAGAAGCTCCAGGAAACAAGATGTGTGATACTTGCAGGTCCTGGAGAGCCAGTTACTGCATGCTGAGAGGGGGCTATATGGGAGGAGTGCCAAAGAAGTGGGCTCAGCCAAGCACTGGGGAGAGCCGAGAGGGAGTGAGGACCTGTGGTCAGGTGCCTTCACTGGCGGTCAGGGTGGAGTACACAAGAAAAGGGATTTCACTGGTGCATTTGAATGTTACTAAGTCATGGTTGAGGGAGGGCAGTGACGGGAAACTTGTGAGAGGGACCAGCCTTATCACATCAGTGTGCCTGGACACCTGGAGAAGGTGCTCACAGCTAAACAAGAGGCAGCAGGAAACCAAATAGGAAGTTTAAAAATTTTTTAATTTCACAATACAGCTATAAAGATTCAGGAATTGTTCCTCTTAAAGTTTGTTTTCATAACATGCTCTTTTCACTGTGTTCACGTTTTACATCTTTAAAGGAGAAAACACCAGCTTTCAGCTTTAATCATAAGCAGAAAGCTTAGATAAACCATGTATATCCAGGTCGGGCATGGTGGTTCATGCCCATAATCCCAGCACTTTGGGAGGCCGAGGCAGGTGGATCACCTGAGGTCAGGAGATCGACATCAGCCTGGCTAACTTGTGAAACCCCATCTCTACTAAAAATACAAAAATTAGCCAGGCATGGTGGCAGGAGCCTGTAATCCCGGCTGAGGCAGGAGAATTGCTTGAACCTGGGAGGCAGAGATTGTAGTGAGCTGAGATGGCGCCATTGCACTCCAGCCTGGGTGACGGAGCGAGACTCCGTCAAAAAAAAAAAAAAAAAAAAAAAAGAAAGCCAAATTTTTCTCCCTTATTACTTTCCAAAGCACATAGGCTCACTTAATTCAGCTATTAAAAATTTATGCATTCAAGATCTCCCAGTTTTTCTGACCAAATTGATGCTCTTAAATTTTCCTTATTCTGATTGTCAAGGGTTCCCAACACCACTCTCGTGTTCAGTGATTCACTAGGGTTCACGGGACTCAGCATATAGTCACAGCTACAATTTATTACAGCAAAACGAGGCAAGGCAAAATTAACAAGGGAAAAAGGAGCATTGGGTGAGGCCCAGAGGAAACCAGGCACAAGCTTCTAAGGGTCCGCTCTCAATGGATTCTCACAGAACACACTAAATTCCTTCAGCAATGAGTTGCAACAACACATGTGAAATGTTGTCTACGAGGGAAGCTTATTAGAGACTCAGTGTCCAAGGCTTTTGCTGGAGGCTGGTCACTTAGGCACTCTCTGCCTAGCACTTGCCAAAATGCCGTACTCCAAGAAGAAAAGCAGGTGTTTGGCATAAGCCAGTCGCACAGTTCAGGCACAGTGAGCCACTCCTCACTTAGGCGACTGTGGAAACCTTCCTGAAATTTAAGATTTCAGATGCCAGCCTGGTGCCAATCTTACAAGCAGGCCTTTCTAAGAGAGCTGTCTCAGGCCTGCCATGTTAACATATCTCTGCACACTCGTGAAAATCTGCTGTCATTCAGGACTATTCAGGGTCTTCACCCACTGTGACCTCTTTGTAGCCTTTAATGCTGTGACCACATCCTTTCTGAATTTTATACCTTTCATGATTTTTATACCATGCTATACCATGAAACTATTTCTTCCCTTTTGTGTCAGAAAAGGGGATTATGAGAGCAGTCCCATGGTTAGGGACTGAGGGAGGTGGGTGACCCCAAACTGTAACTCTTTCCCCTTTCCCTCAGTGAATCTGAAATCAAATACAACCACACATCCCCAAAATGGAAACCCTTCAGAAGACCAATCCTTCTGGTCTCTATTTGGAATCTGTATCCTCTCATCCCCACATCTCTGTTCCTGCCCCTTGTAGCATATCTCCAACCCAGGCTAAAGTGGCATTTGCCCCAACTCACCCTGGCTTCTTTAGAAGGCTGTACCGCACTTCTAATCTTCATGTTTGTCACTTGGCTAGAGGAACGTTATGGAGAGAAGCTTTGCCACACTACGTTCTGTCCGTTCTATTGCCCCGGGATTTCACATTCACGTACTTTCAATTCTCAAAGCAATCATGGCCTAATTGGCCTCTCTCCCTTCATCACTTCCATCCTACTAATACCCAACATAGAAATATCCCTAACCACAGCTGTGACTTTTGACGACTCCACAACTTAAAACTGTCAGTGTTGCCTGTTGCCTATTTCCTAATGAACTGAATTACCTAACGAATAAAACTCTCGGCCTGGTATTAAGATCGTCCATGACTTAGCCACACTCTCTTTTTCTAGTCCCATCTTCCTCTACTGCTATTCCCATATTCATTTCTAGGTGAATAAGGAAGCTATTTAATAATGGTTCTCTAGATAATTTAGTGAAAATAGATCAATGGGCTGGTTTTTGTTTTTCTGGTTTTGTTGTTGTTGTTGTTGTTGTTTTTTAATGTACCTTTTCTCTCCAGGCTACATTAATTAAGAATAAGATCAAGAACTCATTTGTAATGATCAGCTGGAGCCAGGCTGTCTCTCACCTTGCCAGCACACTGGAATCACCTGGGGACCATTACAAAATGCCAGTGCCTAGATCCCGCTCCTTGGTTTTCTGATTCAGTCGATCTAGGATGTGGCCTGGGCATTAGGGTTTTTAGAAGCTCCCTAGTGTTTCTATAATGCACAACCAGGGCTGAGAAACACTGACACAGAAAATCTGTCTTTGCCTGTGTTGTGTCCAAAACGGACTATGGGACTATTACAACAGAGTCCGTCCATGTTCTTTTCATATCTCTGTTCCTCATTTAAAGCCACTGTGCTCCCCTCAGTCTCCACTTCTCCTCTTTGACACCCAACCCCCAATGCCTCTTTCTTGAGAAGACTTCCCCGATCTCCAGTGAACAGCATTCTCACCACCTCTGAAATGTAGGACCATCTTGCTCATGCCCCTCCCCTTCTGATGCTGCTCATCTGTCGTGTTTCTCACGTTATTCTGGTATTCTTGTATTGCTGCGGCCCTTCTTTCCTCGGTGCCTTTCCAAGTACCTTTCTCATGGTTTGATTTAGAATAAAATTTTGTGTTAGGATGTTAAATGAAAATTTGAAAAATCAAAACGTGATTTTTAATTGTTACAATGGTTGTGTAATGCTTTTAACAAGAGATTCACCCAGCAAGTCAGGTAGATATATTCTGATCTTCCCAAGTCATGAATTGTGCCGAGAGCAAACACCCCTAATCATTTTTAGATCTGAATCAACTCTGGGAACCTTTACTTTACTTCTCACTGACAACTACTCGCTTTTCAGGCTTAGGCTACCAAATCCAAAGTTGCATATTCAGGATTCCAAAACAAAAGAAAACCAAAATAGCCCCCTTTTGCCATGCTGTGTCCTGCTATAAACTAGGCTGGGTTTGCATCCAAATGTGAGGAAAAAACAAGGAGATGAGAATTGACATGCATCATTAGTTGGTAGTAGTTTGGTTTTCTTTTCTTGATTGCTTCAGGGCTGACAGCTCACCTGCATTTTAAAACAGGCACCTGCTAATTCAACTTTCCAACCTTTAATCTCACCCTTTCACCCACAGCATTTTAATTACCCCACAATTAATATACTCCTGGTTTAACCCACATGGAAGAGTGGGATGGGAGGAGGCTGAGGAGAGAGACTGGCTTAATGGTAATTTATAGTCCAGATAGCCCTCTTTTTTTGTCCCTGGGTGGAAGTCTCTAATCTTGATTCATTCTAATAAGAGGCCTGAAAACACTGTCACCACCATCCCCAACACAAACACACACACGCACACACAAATGCTAATAAATGAGACATCATCGCCTTGAACAGAATCATCATTTCTCACTTCCATTCAAAATCTGTGCCTCTGACCCATTCTCCCTCAACCTCACTGCCTGATAGGAAGTGAGATAGGAAGCCCATCTCCAAGTGGGAGGAGAAAGGAAGGTCAATTGGCAATCTGACAAAGTGACAAAGAGGGCAAAAGTTCTGAAGAAGTTGGGAGAAGGAGGAAAGGGGGGAAAAACAAATAAACAGACTTTTCTTTGCCCTATGGATGCCCACCTCAATCCCTGGAGTAATTTTAAATTCTCCATAGAGGAAGACTCAAGGCCCCAGCTTGCCCCAGCTTTATTGGTATTTCCCACTAAAGGAAGGTCAGTATGCCAAATGGAAACTCCCTGCAAATGAAAATTAAGCTCCAGGTCATGGGAGGAGCGGGAGAATGGAGCAGTGCTTTCTATCCACCCGCCCTGTTTCCCTAGAAGCTGGCCTTTGGCTGTGGCTGGCGCCTGCTGCTGTTTATTGGCAGTCCTCTGGGTGAGTATTCACCTGGGCAGACACAGTGCCATCTGGACTGTGGCCATCCAGCTCAGGCTGCCTGCTGGGGCCGTGGCCCCGTCCCTCAACCCTGCACACGTGAGGACACGGGCTTCGAAGAGACACTTCATCTGTCTTGGCAAAACTTTTTTTTGTCCATCCCGAGCACTACTGATCTTCTTGAGTAGCCATTTTAGCATTCTACAGGGCATCGTTTGTTCCTTCCACTCTGCTAATACAGTCTTATCCTAATGCTGGCTTTGAATTGCAAAGAATTAAAATGCCAATCTTCTGTCCCTATGCCTTATTAACGCATTGACCACCAACCACTTGCCATGAAGCTTACCTCTTGTTTCAATGAACTCTTACAGCACATATCTGGTATTGGTCTCTTTTTTTCATTTTACAGCAGACGACACTGAGGCACAATGTCTCACCCAACTTAAGGCACGAGTTCTCTGAATTTTCTACGATGCCACACTTGGCGCTCAGTCTACTCAGTGCTTGAAGTGGCAGGTTGGAGGTGTTCTTTCCATTGAGAAAATAAGGAGGTAGGTGATTTATCCAGAGGAGCCACCCCTCTTTGTGACAAACTGGCAAAATGAGAACAAACAAGCTACGTTTATTGCTTCCTGGAAGTTAAAGGGACAACATCTTTCCAAAGCACAATTCTTCTCCAGGAGTGATTAGGGTACACCCTGAGCTCTAGTGGTTTGTGGCTAAAACTAGCCGTGTACACCAAGACTTCACTACCACTGCAGAGACCATGAATGTGGCCTTGAGCTTCCTTCTTAATTCAACCCAGGCTGCCTAATAACATAACATACACATTTTTAATTGATCTACTTAGGTACCCCTTATATTTCATACTTTAAGTTTTATAGAGCTTTTTCTTTTGAAAAGCATCTTCACATGTCTCCTGAATATCATTTTCCTGATTCTTAGTCCCATTTTACAGATGAAGCCACAAATTCTGCCTCCGGATTCAAGCTCCTTCCCTTTTACATGTTATTTCTGTTCTTCAAAAACAAGGATAAAGAAAATTCTCATGAAGTAGTGTTTGGGGTTGAATTTTGTCCTCCAGGAAGGTATGTTGAAGTCCTAACACCTAGTACTAGTGAATGTGACCTGATTTGGAAGTAGAGTCTTTGCAGATCTAATTCAACGTAAGTTAAAATGAGGTCATTGTGGAGTAGGGTGAGCCCTTAACCCAAGGTGACTGGTGTCTTTATAAGAAGAGAGAAGACACAGAGACAGACACACATAGAGGAGAACAGCACGTGACGATGGAGGCAGAGATTAGAGCGCTGCATCTAGATGGCAAGGAACACTAAGGATTGACTGCCAGTAACCACCAAAGCTAGGAGAAAGGGATGGAAGAGATCCTCCCCTCCATACCTGAGAGATCATGGCCCTGCTGACACCCTGACTTTAGGCTGCTGTCCCCCAGAACCATAAGATAGCAAAGTTATATTGTTTTAAGTCCTACAGTTCGTGGGACTTTGTTACAGCAGCACTTGGAAACTAACACAGGGAGCATCTGAAAACAGGTGTTCCAGAGCTGGGCCAACGGAAGGGATTGGGGCTGCCGTATTTCCCATGTTCAGTCTGTTCTGATTTTTTTTTTTTTTTTTTTTTTTTTTTTTTTTTTGGTGTGGGACAGTCCGTTGCTCTGTCGCCCGGGCTAGAGTGCAGTGACGCGATCTCGGCTCACTGCAAGCTCCGCCTCCCAGGCTCACGCCTTTCTCCTGCCTCAGCCTCCCGAGTACCTGGGACTACAGGCGCCCACCACCATGCCCAGCTAATTTTTTTGTATTTTTAGTAGAGATGGGGTTTCACCGTGTTAGCCAGGATGGTCTCGATCTCCTGACCTCGTGATCTGCCTGCCTCGGCCTCCCAAAGTGCTGGGATTACAGGCGTGAGCTACTGTGCCTGGCCTCTGTTCTGATTTTTTAAAACCACATATCACAAGTTGCTGAACTCTGCAAATAAACTTTCTTAAACTTCTTTTGAGTTCCTCAGTGTGATGGGAAAATTTCTATCCTAATTGTTCTTTTCCCAAAAGAGTGAAACACACGGCAAGCCTTTGTAATCCCCATTCCCCAGCCCTATACTGCCTGCTGGAGCCTCATTGCATCTGACAATATTTCCAGATATTGCCCTCAACCATGCTTTTCAAACCTTATTGAGTATTAGCAACCCTAATACTGGAGAGCTTTGAAAATCCCCGTGCCCAGGTCATACCGGCAGACCAATTCCACGAGAATCTCTGGGCCTGAGCGGGTGACCCATATGTGCCTATTTTAGAAGGTTTTCCAAGTGATTCCAGTGATTTTCCAGTTAAGTCAAATGTCCTACAAATTCCTCTTGGGGTTTTATTTCATCAGAGAATAAGCTTAAGTAAATCCCTTCCTGATTATAAGCTTCTAGAGCAGGGGTCAGCATCCAGCTCACAGCCTGTCTGGTAAATAAGTTTCTACTGGAACATAGCCACGATCATTGATGTACATGTTGCTTTCTGGTTACAATGATAGAGTTGAGTATTACAAAAGAGATCATATAGCCCACAAAGCCAAACATATTTACTATCTGTCCCTTTAAGAAGTTGATGAAAGATTGAAATTTCTCCTT